GCTGAGTTGCTTAGGGCCTCACTAAGTTGCTGAGGCTGATCTTGGGCCAAGAGCTTGAAAATTTCAAGTGACTGGGGAATCTAAGACCGAGGAAGGGGCGCTGGCATAGAATGAAGAATACTGGTTAGCCCTGAGATTTTCCCCTGAGATTACAGGTGTGCACCTCTGCACCCAGCTAGGAGCACCTATAGTAAACTATGATGTAATCCTTCCTTTTTCTTTTTCACATGTCTTTTTTTTTGCCTCCTATCCCTCTGCTTTCTTCCTGCTCAGTTCCATCTTCTTCTTTCCTTCCCTTCTCCCCTTAGATATCTCCCTTTCTGTTCTTACTGCCTTCTCATCCCATTAACTTATTAATAGGTTATAAATAAGTCCCAGTCTGGGAAGCCTGGCCCTTTTTTGATAGGCATGTTTTACTATGAGAGCAGAAATCCCCACTGTGTACTGGGCACTCCCTATGGCGCACTGGTGGCTGTTGTTATAAACATAAGGGCCACTCAGTGCAGGACCCAGGACAAGGAGGGTTTATCTCAGAAATTAACAAAGCAATGAGCATGGCAGGACTGAGCTCTGGCACCACTGACAATAAGAAAAATAATAATGCTAACAGTTGCTGCTAGCCTTTCTTAAGAGCTTTCTACGTACTGGGTCCTAAGAGAAACCCTTCACAAATATTTTCTCACTTAATCCTTACCACCATCCCATGAAGTTGGCTCCCTTGTTGTTCCCTTTGTACTGGGGAGGAAACTGAGACCAAGGCATACTGAATGGTCCAGGTCACTCAGCAAGTGGGAGGCAGAGCCACATTTCTCAACCCAGGCAGTCTCTCCAGATCACATCTGGGTGTCACTGACCCTTGGCAATCACAGGGTGGCCCTGAGGTCTCAGATTCCAGCTAACGCTGGCACAGAATGAAGAGTACTGGTTAGCCCGCATGGCTGCATATAACCAGATAGGTGAACCAAGGATAGGCAGGGTTGCCACAGACAGAGCCGTGTGGTCACAGGCACACACAGGAGCAGAGAACAGAGGTGGGGCAGGGCAGCCACTTTGGGCCAAGAGCCTGAAAATTTCAAGTGATTGGGGAATCTAAGACCGAGGAAGGGGTGCCAAAGTGGTGATCAGAAGGGGAGGGACAGTGCTTGGAGGTTCCAGAAAGGAGGTGGGGCATCATAGATGCCCAAACCATCAGCCTGGAGTTTGGAGGGAAGGAGCTCAGAACTGGGAGAGGCACTGGCAGATCCACAGCTCAGGGACAGTATTGGGTACTGGGCTCAGAAAGAAGGACAAGTCCAGTTACCAGGCCTGGGACACTGTATCCAGAACAGATGGACAGAAGGTTGCTTGACAGTGAGGGAGAAGGGACTACTGGGATATCATTGAGCAGGGAAGACTTCATCCCATACACCCATGACCTCAGCTGGGGTGATGCCACATAGACATGTGGCATCACAAGCTGCATGACAACCTGCCTTCCTTCTAATAATCTCTCAAAAATCCATAGTGTGTATGTGATCTTTTTACACATAAAAATGAGTGAATGCAAGGTGACCCTAAAATAGGTCTCTTTCACACTCTGACTTGCTTGCTTGAACCATTGAGTAAGAGAGAGAGAGATGCTGCCGGCATGTTTGCATAACCCCGGGGATGCCTTGCGAATGTGCCAGACGTATCAATATCAGCCATTACATTTCGTAACCAAGAAAAGGCAGAAAATAGCCCTTGAAGGCAACAGGGGTGTCCAGGTGTGAAGCAAAGAACACTGTGTTTTATAAGCCCTTCTGCAATGATTGAATTCTATTCTTTTGTGTTATATGTGTGTGTGTGTGTGTCTCTAAAAAAAATGTATTAAATTTGGCTGTCACATTATTAGTCCCACGCTCAATTAAAAGGAAGTAGTGGCATGAGGTGGGGGGAGAACGTAAGAACAATATGCTAACATATCGTTGCAGCTAGAAAACCCAAGGCAATCTAACTAACCCAGGGCAAATATAAGAATTAAAAAAAAAAGAAAAATAATAGTAGCCAGGGATCATTTAATACAGTCATAAAGAGGTTCAAACACCTCTCAGAAATCATTACAATGCAGCGCATGTTAGACTTTATGGGACCAATGGCCATGCTGAGACCTCCGGTTAAGATGAGAGCACCCCATTGCACTGTGTTTAAGGAGGCAGGGAGCCAAGCCATATATTTTAGCAAGATTTTTATCAAGAGGAGCCAAAACTCAAGTGAAAGAAGGCAGGGTTCTCGTGTGCCTTTCCCCTCACAGCACTTAAACTATAATAATTTTTTTTTATAACATGCTCATTAAAACTCCCAACCTGCAGGCGTGTGAGGGCTGGGACCATGTCTGTTTTGCTCACCCTGGCTGCCCCACGAGGCAAGTGTTTTTCACAGAGCTTCTCTTGCCTGAAACCACTTGAGATGTGGGTCCATTGTGTGCTAGGCCAAGAGGAGCTACAGGACTGGCCCGGCACAGGCCCTGGGCTGCCAGAAAGTGGACTGAGGGAGGACACTAGAGCTTGTTCCCAGCCAGGCCTCCGGGATGCTTCACACACGGGAAGGCCAAGAACTTAATCTGCCGCCATCAAGCCTTGGTTCCATCTGGCTGCTGAGATAATGGGAACTAGAAATGTCTGCTTTGATGGCTACTGAGGAGGAAAGCTTACATTTTAGTGGAAAACCTCGGTACTGCCTCAGACTTTAATTGGGGTTTCTTATGAAATTTGATTTCTGTTCTCTTGAGTTTTCCAGACAGACAGGCCCTGAACAGGTGCAGCAGGAGGAGCTTCAGGACTCTCAGTTCAATTCACAGCCTGAGTGCCAGGTAGCTCTTGGAAGGGGCAGACCTGGCCTATTCCAGTAATAGAGAGAGCTTCAGAGGCCACTGTCTGCACCTGCCAGAGAGCTCAGATCCCCCAGACAAGCCTGAGGGCCATTCAGTCCTATGAGGGAGGGTGGCCAGTAGCCTCTACACATGGGCCCCACTCTTGGACTAAGACCACTCAGACCCCATGGCCACTACCTGGACTGGACTCCCCTGGAAGGCCTCATCCTCATGCCTTTCCACTCTCTCCTTCCCCTTTCTACTCTCCTGGCCCTCTCTCACCCCCTTCCTTCCTCTCTCCTTCTCCCTCCTCCCTGGCAGCCTCTTCCTTCCTTCCCCCTATCCCTTCCATTTCCCCTTCTTAAACGAATTAGTTGAAACCACTCTTTTGAAAGGGCGAGGGTGACCGGGAGGAGGAGACTGCTCTTCAAGTTCACACATGGGCCTGAGTGGCGGCTTTCAACCTTGCCTTTACCTCCCCACCCAGACAGCAGACCAGGGTGATTGAGATCTCCTTGAGGGACAGTAGTTGAAGGAAAGACTAAAGTTTAGCAAAGTGGCTTCAGAGGAAGGACTCTGTGGGAGCCTCAGCCCAGCGGCCTGACTCCCCGGCTGGGGCCTTCCGCCCACCCAGAGACACATTCTCCCCGGGAGAGGAAGTTCAAGCTTAGGGGGCCTCACTTGCTCTAGTCCTTCCAGGGGCCTGGGAAGAGCCCCAGCACTTCGTTCCCAGGGTCCTATGTTTTTTTTTTTAATATTTGCAAAACGAATATATTTTAAACACGGTGGAGTTCAGCTGCTGTTTCTTTCCATTATGGCCTCCCCTCCCTCGTCCTCCTCTGCTTAGAGGGCTGTGGGCCCTGAGGGGCTCCAACTCAGGGGAAGTTGGACTGGGACAGCACTTTGTTTGGATTGAATGGCACACATTTGTATGGGCCTTCTATAAGTCACTGCTGGCCATCCCAGGGAAGGAATGGTTTATAGAAATAGTGCACAAAAACTGAATTAAATATGAATGTGTCCTTTGGCACCTGGCATCAGAAGTCTGTGGGCAGTGGAGGAAAAACAAAGTTGGAAATGCACTGAGCTAGAAGAGGCGACAGAAAATTCTTCCAGTCACGAGATGTGTAAAATTCAGTTCTCATTGATGCCCTGTCAAAATGGAAATCCAGAAATACATTCAATAAGGGAGATGTGGAGGGATAAGTGTGATGCAGGTTGTTTATGGAAAGTGCACGAAATGAAATTGATCAGAAATCTCACACTTTTAGAGCATTACCCTAATAGCGATGCACACTGCAAGCGTGCATAAGGGTGAGGAAGCAAGCTCTAACGTCTCCCCGCTATCAATAATTTTGATCCATATTGCAAGAGGAAGGGATACCTTTCCTTTCTATTCGCCCTAACATAAAATCGTTATCATGTGAAGAAAGTATCAAAGTATAGAAGCAAATATTACAGAGGGATTACTTTACAGGTGTGTCAAACCATTCATTAAAATATTATGTGTGTGTTTTTTTTCTGAATTTTGAGATGCCTATTTCATTTACCAGCTTTTTTTTAAAAAATGTGTAGTTTTTTAGTAATTTATTTTTTCTTTCTAAAAAGTCACTTTTGTTTCCAATTTGTTATTTGTATTTTTGTATTCCTTTCCTTGAAGAAAGCCCCCCAATTTGTATAAGCCTCAGCCCCCACAACCTGGATCCTCCCTATGGGAAGCTTCACTGAACATCTGGACAAAGATATGATTTTCTGTCTCAGGAACCCTGCTCTAGATGGGGCACCTACAGTCCCAGGAGAGTTTGTTCAGTGGGTTCTATTGTGATACCATGTTGCCTCCCCTCCTGGATCCCTGTTTCAGAGCTATCAAGGTCTTTTGTTCCAATGGCTCCCATCCCAGGCTCTCAGGGTCTCTGTTCTTGTTGGGAAGGACAGGAGCAAGAAACTGCCGTTGATGCTCAATCTCTCCAGCTGTGCGGAGGCCCAGCTATGCACATTCTCATTTGACATCAATCTATTTGAGGGTCTTCTGATCAAGGGAAGGTAGGATGGTTTTCTGCCAAGTCTTTTTTTAGATTTGCATCATTTTGGGGTCAGGTGATCTTACGCACAAGGTGCTCTCGTGCTTTCTGTAGCAGGGCATTTACCAGTTTTCTGCTTTCTTTAACAGAGTTGGTGTGGATCTGGACGAAAATCTGAAGGAGGAGCCCTCCTCATTTCAGGCAAGTTAAACAAGCCAATGTATAGTACTTAGAGATATCAGATGTTCTGTTTCATGAACTGTTCCAGGTTTGTGTCCAACATAGAACCAAGAGGCTCATTCTAAACAGGGCTGCCTCTGTGGATAAAACAAATCGAAGACAACAGAGTGCACAGGAATTCAGGGTGTTGACCATTTTTAGCGTGCAAAGGCTCAGCACTAGCATGAACTTATAGCCTCTCTGTGGCAGCAGGAAGCCTGAAAACTACAATGTAGGAACCAGACCATGGCCCTTAAAATGAGGCACCCCATGATTCAAATCCCTGCCCAGCAACTTGCTAGCTTAGTGATCTCAGTGAATTTACTCAAAACCTATCCAGTTCATGTTGAGCACACAACAAATAGACCTGTTCCTCCCACATGGCTTCTCATTAATCAGGTATAAGTTACAGAAATGCTGAAACAGGCAGGAGCCTGCAAAACTATCTAGGTGATCCATTCCTGACTTAACTGAGCAATGATTATTATCCACAGAGACCTAAACATCCTTTCAGAAAATTGTTCAGAACGATGTGCTATTCCCTCGAGGAGAGAAAAGTTATTCTCCAGACTCTGGATTTGAAACTGATAATGTCAATGTTGCATTAGCCATATTTACCTGGATGCTTAAAACAGATGAACAAATGTGTGGAAATGTTATACCTTTTTCTGCAATTGGAAGTAAGCAGATGTTGTTGGGATAATGTTGTCAGTATGTGATGTTGCTAATTAATCACGTTATGATCATATGTGAATTTGAGGACAAGCTACCTTGCTTTGTTTTCATGGGGGTTTTCCCCACAATACAGTTAATGAGGCACAGCTCCTTGGTGTTTATGAGCAGGAAGCTGTTTTCCTGGTTCACACAGGTAGAAAGAAGGAAGGAGCCTGTGCACTGCAGAAAAAGCTGAGAAAATAAGTTGCCCTGAACCTGACTCTCAAGCGCTTGGACTTTGTTGTCTCCTGTGTTACAAGGCCAGGCTGTGCTGTTTTCAGATCTCATTGCCCAGGATACACAACTAACTGCAGGGCTGAGCCCAGCAGAGGTGCCCAAAGCACTGGGATTAGGGCCAGTTTGGTGACCTTAGGAAGGAGATCAAAGCCCATTTCCAGGCCTGGCAGCAAGTAAGGTCCGGTAGTGGCTGAATTTTGAAAAACATTTTCATCTTGTACAGGTTAAATAATCTATTCCCCTGCCTTCAAGCAAAACTTTCATCTAAATCTTGTTTTTCTCACACACCTTTTTCTTTAAAAGAATAAGAAAATTCTTTGTCTTCCTCTAAGTGCCTCAAACTTTGCAATCACATATAATTATTGGTAAAAATTTCCTACTAGCCTAACACCATCCTTTTACAATTTGAAGTGTTTTATTTTAGTTCATTCATGTGATGCTTTAAAAACAAAGTTCGCCATTGTTAATTCTGTAATAACTCTTCTCTGAAGATATTTCAGCATTGAAAGGTATTCTTTTATTGTTGTTGTTGTTGTTAGAGAAATAGGGCAATAGAATCTAGAACCATGAACACTATGGGTTATTTGCATCTTAGACAACTTTTTTACAGTTTGAGTCTCAGTTTCCCTGTCTGCACAATGTGAATGATAACAATGCCCACCTCTCCAGACTATTCTAACAATCAGGGGAAATTATGTTTATGAAAACTACCCAATTTAATTAAGCTAAATCCATTTCATTTCATAAAAGATTTGAGGGAATTTATACCACTACATATAACTAAGTAACAGTAACCTATTTATAAAGAATTTTAGAATTCAGATAATAATAATAATGAAAGATTAATAAAGAAAACCAAGCCCAGAGAGGGTAAGGAGAATCAGGAATAAGCAAATTGAAGGGCCAATATCCTTGCTGTCATGGATCTGTAAGTGAGCTTTCTGGTAGCCAAAGAGGGCAGAAAAGAAATTATCAGTAACATACTAAATTCTCATCATTAGAGGGGGAAAAAAATCATACTGCCTCTTCTAGTGGTACCAAGACTTCACAGGTCACTATGTTTTAAAAGACATTCCTCACTTGGAGCCCCTTGCAAAAGACACAGTGAACTATCTCAGTGTGAAGTAACTGATATTATAATTTACCAGGTTCCCACTAAACTGCTGCTGCTTACAAACAACTTTGCTTTTAAGAAGCAGCCTCTGTGTGTTTGTGTTCACCATAATGTGTCACTGCCAAGGTCATTAGGTTTCAGAAAGAGGTTTTGTCCACATGTGGGGGTAACTGGTCGGTGTCAAGTACAGGAAAGGGTGGGCTCATACCTGAAGTAACAAGCAAAGGTATTCATGCGGCTGTCAATCAACCTGGACAGAGTTGGTTTTAAATATTTTTATTAGCGCATTATACATATATGGATGACAGGAAAATGAGGGTATATGGGGTCTGAACAGACAATTTGGGAAAACAAACAAACAAAAAAACATCAGTCCTGGAGAGGATGTTGGAAAAAGGTACGCTGCATGGTTGGTAGACTGCAAATTAGTACAACCACTTTGAAAAGAACTACAGATATTCCTCAAAAGACTAGTAATGGAACCACCATGTGACTCAGTTATCCCAGTGGATAAGCATATACTAGTCATATTACTAGTTGTGTGTGTGTGTGTGTGTGTGTGTTAGTTTGCTCCATTTCAATCATTAATACTTCCACTTTTCCCTCCCCTCCTGTCTCCCCATGATCCCCTTCATCTACTCTATTGCTCTTTCTTCCATTTATTTATTGTTTTTTATTGGTGCTTTATAAATACACATAAAAGTGGAATTCACTGTGATATATTTATATGTGCATGTAGCATAATTTGGTCAATGTCATTCCACAGTTCCCTCTCCCACCTCACCTTCCTTCCCCTCAATCCCTTTCTTCTACTCCACTCTTCTCCTTTCTATTTTCATAGGATCCTCTCTTTTTTTATTTTTTTACTTCCTAATTTCTCTCGAGCTTCTGCATATGAGAGGGAACATTTGATCCTTGACTTTTTTTTTTATTTCACTTAGCATGATGTTCTCCAGTTCCACCCATTTATCAGAAAATGACATACCCAATTTTATTCTAATTTATGGCTGAGTGAAAACTCCATTGTGTCTATATACTACATTTTCCTTATCCATTCCTCTGTTGACAGGCACCTGGGCTGGTTCCAGAACATAGCTGAATTGTGTTTCTGTAAACATTGATATGCATGCAACACTAGAGCGTGCTGATTTCATTTCTTTTGGATAAATACTGAGGAGTGGAATAGCTGGGTCATATGGTTGTTCCATTACTAGTCTTTTGAGCAATGTCCATACTGCTTCCCAAAGTGGTTGCTCTAATTTGCAGCCTACAAACCATGCCTGAGTGTACCTTTTTCCAATATCCACTCCAGGACTGGTTTTATTTTTCCAAATTGTCTGTCCAGACCCCATCTGCCCTCATTTGCCTGTCACTTACTTATTATCAGCACCACTGGTTCTGTTAGACCCCAGAATATAACCCTAATTCTTAAGAATGCATGTTTCCACTTGATTTGCATTTATTAAACTAGGTTTGCATTAACCAGGAAACTAATCTTTGTACTCATCAAAGGCTATTCTTTGTTCTTAAAAAAAATCTTATTCTCTTCTTGTTGTTGTTCTTCTTTTTAGTTATACATGACAGTAGAATGTATTTTGACATGTCATACATACAAGGTCCTATTCTTAACTAACCAAAAGCTAAATCTTTCACAAGTAGTTATGACCATTACTGACTGTGCATGCTCAAGATCAAGAATAAACATGCATAATTACCTGTGCCTATTTGTTGAGGGCCACAGCACCTATTCTTGTTCTGCTTGTGGGAAGTGAAATAAATAAACTTTGGGATCTAAACTTGTAATATTTTTAACATAGTTCTAAGCACCTTTCATGTATTGCTTCACTTGGTTTCCAAGATACGCCCCCCCAAGTGGGTGCCATTATTGTCCTCATCTTACACATAAGGAGATTGTGCACAGAGAATGACCTGACCAAGGGCACACAGAAGGCAGAAATGAAGTCTGAGCAGACAAGTTGGCTCCAGAATTTCCACTCTTAGCAAGTGCACATCATTCATTCCCGCCCCTAATTACTGACACCACTCACGGTCAGGTCCTAATCCAGGCATGAACAGGATTTGGCAGTTGTCATTTCAAAAGTCTTCTCCCTTGCAGAGCTTTTATTCTAATGAGGGACACTGGTGAGAAAGGTAAACAGCTATGTAGTTTAGGTTCAGAGGAGGACAACACAGAGCAGTCGAGATGGAGAATGGAGGGGAGGCTGTTGGCAAGGGAGGGTGGGCCTCTCTGAGAAGGTGGCATTTGATCAGAGAGCTGAATGATGTGCAGAAGCAGGCCATGTAAGATCTGGGGCACCAGACAGAGACCCTGGGGTCACGATGGGTTAGTGTACCCAAGAGCAGCAAGAAGGCCAGTATGGCTGGAACTGAGTTAGCATGGCAGGAGCAGATGGAGATGAAGTGGGAGATATGGACAGGAGCCAGCACCCAGGTCAAGGTGGTGAGCCTGATTTTATTCTACATGTGGTGGGCACCCTTGGCAATTTAGAGCTTGAAAATAGTAGAACTAATCCTTTGTAATATTTTGTTTTTTCTTCCCACTTCACTTTCCACTGTTACGATAAAGCTAACTTTCATCATTTCTAACATAATGTCGTTTTTTAGCACAGTGCTTGTTTCTCTGTGATTTTTTCCTCATGTTAACTTCCAATTTTCTTTTGCTTCCCATAATCCCTTCATTGAAATTCTGGCTTGGGTTGTCCTCCGTGTGTGTGTGTGTGTGTGTGTGTGTGTGGTGTAGTGTGTAAGCCTGGTGGATCAGTTCTGGTCACTGCTACTCAAGGAAGTCAGAGCAGAGCTCAGAAAGGTCCAGTGAAAGGAAACCGAAATTGCTGAGAGGGGGGTACAGCTACCAGAGTGATGGGGATTAAAGGACCAGGATTCTCCACCAGAAAGA